CCTGCCTGAGAAACATTATTCTCACATACATTTAAAACATGTATACTTTGACAAACTCACAATTAGAACTCTGTTGGCCAGGCTGGTCTCAAACTCCTGGCCTCAAGCAATCCCCCCGCCTTGGTCTCCCAACGTGCTAGGATTACAGGTGTGAACCACTGTGCCTGACCTAGTTTTGTTTTCAAAATGGAAATCCCTATGAGCCTTGTAAGGAATTTGACTTCCAGATAATAATTTTTAACTCATCAAGATTTCCCACAGTCACTGTGTCATCATCTAATGATGTGTTTTTTTGTTTGTTTTGTTTTGTTTTTTGAGATGGAGTCTGGCTCTGTTGCCCAGGCGGGAGTGCAGTGGTATGATCTCAGCTCACTGCAACCTCTGCCTCCTGGGTTCAAGCAATTCTCCTGCCCCAGTCACCCGAGTAGCTGGGATTAACAGGCATGCACCACCATGCCTGGCTAATTTTTGCATTTTTAGTAGAGACAGGTTTTCACCATGTTGGCCAGGGTGGTCTCAAACTCCTGATCTCAGGTGATCCGCCCGCCTTGGCCTCCCAAAGTGTTGAGAATATTATAAGCATGAGCCACTGCGCCTGGCCGGGTGCTTTTATCTCTAGTACTTGTATTGTGCAGTGGAACCACTGGCAGGTTTCATTCCAAAGCCCAGGGATTGACTCTTGGGCCAAGCACTTGTTAGTCACCTGACTATAAACCTGAGCTTCAGTTTCACCACCTGTAAAATGGCCTACTGGAATTGCTTTATAGGATTTTGCAGATCAAATATGTGAAAGTGCTATACAAATGTAAGAAATTATTCACACAAAAGTGGGTTACTAGCCTAGTACATTGCTTGGCAGAGTAGAAATGAAAAATCTGTTAACTGATGTAGAATTTCCACTGTTAGGAAAGAAGCAGCTTCAGAGCAGTGTCTCTGTACTTCCCATAGTACAGCAGTGTGTGAAGTACAGAGACAATGGAATAAAATCAAAATGGAACAAAGGCTGGGCTTGGTGACTCATGTCTGTAATTCCAGCACTTGGGAGGTCAAGGAAGGAGGATCACTTGAGGCCACGAGTTCAAGACCAGCCTGGGCAATATAGCAAGACTCTGCGTCTACAAAAAAAAAAAAAAAAAAATTAGCTGAATGTAGTGGCATGCACTTGTAGTCCCAGCTTCTTGGGAGGCTGAGGCAGGAAGATGGTTTGGGCCCAGGAGTTTGAGGGTGCAGTGAGCCATGATCGTGCCATTGTACTCCAGCCTGGGAGAAATCCTGACTCTAAAAAGAAAAAAAGGAGTAAATACCATACTGTAGTCTCGGGGTTCTGCTTTACCTGAGGGCTCCTAGGCACTGGAATGGGAGGAAAATCTTATAGGACAGAAGTTATTCCTTTCAATGTAATTCTTCTTTTCTCAAGTCAATGTCTCAAGTTTGTTACGGACACCCATGGGCACTGCTTGCTTCTGCTGGTTGTACAAACTACCAGTTCAGAGACAAGCACAAATAATTAGACCAGGGCCAAACTCCACAGCATAAGGGAACGATTCTTTGTCCACAGTAGGATCAAGAGCCAGGGAAAGGCGAGTGCTTCCAAGGTCTGATCCAAAAAACCTACTATCCTAGGGTGAACTGCAAGGTCCTAAAATTCCTTGGCCTCAAAAAGGATCCTCTGTCAGTCATTCTTATACCTGCCCCACGAGGAACCCACATTTTCCAAAATTCTTTTAAGCTAAGGGATGACCCTGTAGTTTCATAGAGCTCCTTCTTCATTCCTTGTTTAGACACGCAGGGACAAAATGCTTCTCCCAAACGGTAGTGGGACACCCTGCTGACCATATGCCAAAGATAACCCCTATTTAGTTGAGGCCTCCAAAGGGCAGGCTCTGACTGCCTCCAGAGAAGGGGCCAGGTCCTCTCTTCTCAACCCCGGAGTTCTTGCCCCTCTTTTCAAAGCTGTTTTAGTTATTTCACATATGAAAGCACTGTCTAAGGTCACAAAAGAGATTAAAGTCTACAGACTCAGAATCCATCCTAAATCATGTCGTCCAGGATAGTGAACCCAGAATTTGGAATTAGACTTGGTTTCAACTCCCAATTTCCACTGATAAATGGTAGTGTTTGTGTCATAACCCTTCAGAGCTTGCTTTTTCTTTTTTTTCTTTTTTGAGATGGAGTCTTGCTCTGTTGCCAGGCTGGAGTTCAGTGGTGCGATCTGGGATCACTGCAACCTCCGCCTCCCGGATTCAAGCAATTCTCCAGCCCCAGCCTCCCGAGTAGCTTGGACTACAGGTGTGCGCCACCACACCCAGCTGATTTTTGTATTTTTAGTAGAGACTGGGTTTCACCATGTTGGCCAGGATGGTTTCGATCTCTTGACCTCGTGATCCACCTGTCTCGGCCTCCCAAAGTGCTGGGATTACAGGCGTGACCCACTGCACTTGGCCTTTTTTTTTTTCTTTCAAACAGAGTTTTGCTCTTGTTTTTCTAGGCTGGAGTGCAAGGGTGTGATCTTGGCTCACTGCAACTTCCACCTCCTGGGTTCAAGCAATTCTCCTGCTTCAGCCTCCTGAGTAGCTGGGATTACAGGCGCACGCCACCACACCCAGCTAATTTTTTGTATTTTTAGCAGAGACAGGGTTTCATCATGTTGGCCAGGCTGGTCCTGAACTCCTGACCCCAGGTGATCCACCCACCTCGGCTTCCCAAAGTGCTGGGATTACAGGCGTGAGCCACCGCAACCAGCCTAGAGCTTGTTTTCTAACAACGCTCTACAACGACAGCAGAGGATTAAATGAGATAATGTGCAGAAAAGTATTTTAGAAATTATTACAAATTTATTATCTCTGAGTACTTTTAACACTGTCACCAGCTACAGACTACTGTGTAGAAGACATAGAAGCCTGTACTTCTGGCAGGACAGGGCTAGTTGTGGAAAAGACTTTAGGTATGAGCTGAAACAATTTCCAAGTGAGGATCCCAATGTCTAGTGCTATATCTCCTGGAGCCACGGGCTGACATAACCCTAATGTAGATGCCAGCTCAGGAGAGCGCTAGTTAACAACTTAAAACAAGCAGCTCTCTGGGGCTCCTCCCTGTCTCCAGACCTTCCCACATGCTGCCTCTCACAACTCTTCACTGGCTCTCCACTGAGCTACTTCCTCATCACCTGCAAACCTCACTTTGAATGCCATTGCTTCAAGGGAACCTGCCTTCACCTCCAGACGAGGCCCTGCTTAGAAATTCCTACTTGGAATTCTCCTGTGTGCCACTTAATCCAGTTGTGATTATCTCAGTCTAAGTCCCCTAATGTGAATATAGGCTCCACTAGGACAGGGCGCATGCCTGTTGGCATCCTTTCATATCCCTAGTTCCTCAGATAAAGACAATACAATGTGTTGAACGAGTGAATGAGGCCAGAACTTTGTGTTCCTTCAATCTTGTTAAGAATTCTGGGAGCAATGAAAATAAAATATAGAAAGAAAATTAATTTAGTGCTGGCAGAAAGGGTTCTGGACAGAGGCATGTTTCCTTGGGCAGTTTACTCCAATAAAAAGAATTTATGGGCTTAATTAAATCAAGATCTTCAGGGGCACAGGAATGGTCATGGCTCAAGCTTGCTCTGAATTACTCATTTTATTTAAGTGGAGGTGCCCTTCTGGGAAGAGCAGTTACTGTCAACCAGGAAATCAGTACAACTGCCTTTGTAAGCAGACAACAGTCCTTGTTTTTTCTTTGTCAGGGTCTAGGAGACCACTTCTGAGGTCTTCCTAAGGAATGGAACCTACTTTAGGTGAAACCAAAAAGGTGAAACTTCCTTATAACAATCACAGTTTTTTTCTCAATTGTTTGTATTTGTTTTCCTCACTCCTATATCTCAGGATAACTTTAAATCAATGTTCAGCCTCCTCTAAGGGAAGTTTCATTTTTACCTATCCGAACTGTGGAAAAAAAAGGTTTTGTCCCCCATAAATATGACTTAACAGTTACCAAATCTGTGTAAATTTAGGTCTAGGAATGTGTGTGGGAAGTACACCCTCCTTGAGCCCTCTGGAATCACATTTACTCTATGACACAGCAGGAACATCGCCATCTTGGACAAGCCCCTCATTCTAAAATTCACCTTAATCAAAAACCACCTAAACCCAAAGGGCATCAGCCTAATGGCTAAGGTCAACACAACCATAAACCACAAATAACATCTCCAACCAGAAACACTCCAAACTCCTCCCTAACCAAAGACATGCTAACCCCAAGATAAGCCCGCTCTGGCTAGAAAGACATCAGCCCCATGATAACTTCCCCTCCGCCCAGACATTCCGACCCCGCCATAAAACTTCTCCCTCACATAGAAACATTCCAAGCTTGTGATAAGCCCCCTCACCCTAAAACCAATGTATACTCTTACTCTGTAAGAGAAAGCACTCCTGATGGAAATCAGCCAGAAGCCCCTCTCAGGTTTATTTTCTCTAAAATAAATCTGTCTTTAACTGTTGAGCTGCATTTCTTTCCTCTGTAACTCTTACACCCTAGTCCTACTTAGCCAAGTTGATGGATTTAGGATGCTTTAAAAACAAACAACAGGCCCTAATTCCTATAAAATGCATTCTCACATTGAAGGAGACTCCTCAAGTAAGACAACACTGATTATTGATAAATGTTGATATATTAAAAAAACAAAACAAAACAATAATTGATAGAGACATGGCATCTATGGCCATGAAGTGTTGCCTGGACCAGATCTTCTGAGTTAAGAAACAGCAGGCCTAGAAGTCTTTAATCATCAGACAATGTCACAGTTAGAACCCCTCAAGGCCTGCTATCATGACTTCAGTTTGACCTTCTCAAATTTCAATCGTCTAGCTCAAATTAGGATGACTTTGAGGATCTTTGGCTTCAGGGATGCTTTATTAACCTTTTATAATACTCTAGTTAATTTGGGCTTTGGCGATTTCTGCAGAATATACATTTCATTTCTTCCCTGTAAATGAAGAGGCAACCCATGAGGTTGTTAAACAAATTCTATTCAGTAGCTGGAAAAGTGAATTTCCTGTGGAATGACAGGAATTACATAGAAGCAAGCAATTTTATTTTCCTCAAATGTAGCAATAATTTTAATCTGTACATACATAAAACAAACAGTGCAATTATAAAACCTTGAAGGTGACATGCATATTTTAAGGTGCAGTTGGGATGGGGGAGGATGTTAGCATCTCCAATTTTCCTTACCACTTTTTTTTTCTAGTTCCTTATGCAAAAGCACTGAGTCAGGAAACTTCATCTGGAATGCTGAAGTTAAAGGTGAACTTCCTGCAGTCTGCGCGTCTAAATATCACCAACAAAATGGAAATGACCTCCTAGAGCAGTTTGGTAGGGACTAGATAATATGGCTGGCTTTCAAGCTGGAAATGAATGAAATCAGGGATGCATTTTCTGAAAAACTAAAGGAGATAATGTTTGTAACTGAGTGTCCTATTTCTGTTTCATAGTTGCTAACCACATGAGCCCTTCCACCAATCTTTTTATTCGATATAGTTTCTGAATAGATGCTGTTCAGTGGAGTTATTTGTAACTAGGGGTGGTGAGATGCAGAAGGAAGGACCTGGGGAAATGGCTTCTTCCTTGAAGTCTGAGTCCATGCTCCTCTTCCACTGTTCTTATGGCCTTTTCTCTGCCATGGAGGCAGAGGTAGCTGGTGCAGAATGTCAGGTGCTGTCATCATTCACAGGCCCAGGAATGCAGACAAAGGTCAGTGATGGGGGTCTACCTTTGCTTCTTCCACAATACCTTTCTCAAGCTTTCCTGGCTTTGCAGCGGAACTTCTAGAACTAGAAAGTCAGTTCAGTGGGTTCTTGACTCAGAGGCCAGGATGAGATGGGATGTGGCAGAGTGACAAGACACAAAGGGAAAATATGGTACCAATTAGCCTCAGAGCAGGATAGAGAAATTTATATTTGCACTGATGAAAATTCAAATTCCCAAAGTCAATCTAAAAAATGAAGATTTCCTTTGAGTATTAATTTTTTCTCTGTACAAGTAGCCTGTGCACTTCTGTTCAGATGATCCCAGGGACACTCTAGGGCAGTATGCTCTAGATCAGCTGGAACAGCTCTTTCTGGCAGTGACATTTTGATTTGAACCCCAAAGTAAATCCATACATGGCATCACAGTTATTAAAATAATGAAATATTACTAACCAAATGTAACTGCAATTCAATCAATGTTATATTTCACACACAAATTTAGAAAAATCAAGAGTATAATAAAAGCATAAAATTAAACAGAAGGAAATCAATTTCTACAAGAAATCAAATATATTTACAATGAGATTTAAAGGGAAAAATAAGCTACTTGGATCATAAATTTAATTTTATTTTAAATAACTTTAGCCTACCTCAGCTGTTAATACAATAAAAGCAGAAAAAACAGGCTGCCTTTTATTTTCCAGATTTAATCAGAATATTGTATCTACAATAATTGACAGAATTCACTTCTTGTCCTTCACCCATCTCATCAAAAATTATTGCATTTTCCCCCAAACTGTATTTTTTGGATTCCTCTGTGAATATACTAATTTCGCCCTCTTTCCTGGAGGCATCTTGGTTTAAATCCATCTTTAAAAAAAGGAGAAGGGGTACATATGTGGAGGCAAAATACTCTCTTGAAGCCAACAGATACAGAGTTGCTAGAGAAGCTGATTGTACACACAAGCTGCCTGGGATTGGGATGGGGAGGGCTGCTGATTTCGAGACACGTGACAGCCTTTGGTGGACGGGCACAGGCAAAGCCCCACAGGCCCTTCTTCCTGGGCAGGGCTGGGACTGAGCGGCGGAGGCGGAGCTTCATCTTCTTCTTGGAACTTGTCGTTTTGGTTCTCCTCCAAAAGCCTTCATCCAGATAAGAAGCCAATGACTGATTATAAAAATAAGAATAATTAAATTTGGCTCAAGAAATAGATTGTCCAACTGTTCTGCCTTGGTATTTTTTCAATATCCAAGGCCTTTACAAAGAAAGAAACAAAAACATCTTTCAATCTCCCGACAAAAGCAAACTCCTGTTTTTTTTTTTTGTTTTTTTTTTTTTTTTGCTCCAAATGCTACGACCTGAAGAATGGCTGCAGATTGAGATATCAAAAATCTCAGAAAAATATATAATATATTTGTATATCTCTGTATGTCTATTATTTAAATTTCACATTCCTTTAAAAGTGGTTATTCAGTCAGTAGCTGCTGAAGGAGGCTCTTCTGCTGGGCCTGGGGGGTCTGTGGTCCTGACGTGGGCTTTTGAGTTCCCAGTGGACCAGGCTGGTTCAGGTAAGGGTCCCCGCCTACCAGATTCACTGTACACTGGACGTCAGCAAACACCTGAACCTGTTGCACCTGCTGGAACACAAATAAAAGATGTGTTTAGACAGAAGGGTCTGCCCCCCCGGCTTATGAGTGGGTACTACTTGAAGTGGAAACTCACTAGAGCATTCCTCTAGTCTGTAGTCACCACAGAGAAGAACTCTTCTGTCTTCTTGTCCTACAAAAAGAAAATCGCTGCACTCATTTTGCTCAGGGTTCTGGAAAGTTCACACTTTAAAAATAAAATCAAAATTGGAATGGTCACGCCTCCTATAGGGTTGCCATCAATACTGAAAGTGAGTATCATTGCTAATGTTGCCAAGATTGGGAGAAGCCCAGTTTCAGAGTCTGGGTATCCAGTGATAGGTTTTAAAAAATACGTGGTATTTAGAAAACTGGTTTAAAACCATTCTATGGATGATTTCAGTAGGATAGAAAATCTTTATGACGTCACTGAAAAATTAAGGGCTTTCAACCAGTATTAGCAAAACGAAACCACAACTCAATAGGACATCAGCATCTAAGGTTAATGTCCAAAGATTTTTTAGTATTTAAATATAAACTATTACACAGCTCTTTCACATATTGGCTTTAGAATAACAGCAAATTATCATTAAAACAATTTTATATTTGACTTTTTTCCCGACAGACAATCCATTTAAACACATGAGCTAAAAATAACAGTACGTCCACTAGCCTTGAGAACAGTGTGAATTTTCCCTTCACTACTTTCAGTAACAATACACTTATTCCTTAAAAATGTCTAAAGTTGCACAGTTCTAGCATATTCTATTGGGAAAACAAAGCCAGAAGTTAGTCTTTACCAACCAGCCTTATTAAAAAGTTGTTCGTAGAACTGATTAAGGCTAATACCACCCTTGTGAATGTTCCAGACCAGGAATGGAGATGCCTTCTAAGGCATCTAAGTGTCTCAAACTTTTTGATAAACTTGTGTCTCCTGTTTGATAGGTCATAAAGTAGTTTAGATTAGTGGTGTATTTTTTTTTTGGTCATTTATCACTAATTCATGCTAGTTACACCCAGCTTTTTTGAAAACTTTTCTATCCTAATTGAATAAAAGTTGTTTTCCATCAACCTTCATTAGCCAAATGTCAAATGTCGTATGCATCAAATTTGGACATCAGTCTATCCCCTGGTCTCCTATCCTCTTAATCCATTTACAGCTCCACTTTCCTCCCTCTCAGATGAGGCAGACAGCCCCCAAGCTGAGCTTTCCTAGTGCCTAAGGAATCAAATCTCTAGTTAGATTTGCACTGCTTTTCTCTCCTTCTCTTCCCCTTTCCCTAGTTTCCCTAATGTGGCTTCTAGTCCCTATATGCTCCCATTTGTTACTGCCTCCTCTGGGCTCTTTCTCTTGTGTCTATAACACACCAACGCACCCAGTCTGCTCTCCAGCTGCCTCTGTGCCCTCGCTCTGCCTTTGTGGTCTGTAACGTCTCATTCTGACTCTTTCCTTCTAGAGCTTCACCAGGCCTTCCTCTCTTCCTAGGTCAACGATCCCCCTGCCAGTCCTCTTCCCGCTCCTCTGTTCTCTGGGTTCTCTTCCTGTTCTCTCCTGTCTTACCTCCTCCTGCCATCCCTCTTCCCACTCCTCTGTTCTTTGGGTTCTCTTCTTGTTCCCTCCTGCCTTACCTCCTCCCCATTCTATCCCAGTTCTGCAGTACAGCTAGTCCCATTACTCCTCCAGTCCTCTTCTCCTCATCTTTTTCTTCTCCCTTTCTGTACATCTGTCTTTATATTTCTGTCTAACTCCCCAGCTGCTGTCTGGTAAATACAAAAACACTGGAGCAAGTAGAGATTTCATGACTGGCCACAACAGAAAGAAAATTCTACCACTGAAACTTCACATGATCACAAACTATAGTTCTTTTTTAGGCATTGATTTTAAAAAAAGTCAACAGATAAAATTTCATGTTTATGTTTCTACATATGAAACACTGGGGCAGAGCATAAGGTGTTTTTGTACCCAAATTCTTTTTTTTTTTTTTTTTTTTTTTTGAGACGGAGTCTCGCTCTGTCACCCAGGCTGGAGTGCAGTGGCCGGATCTCAGCTCACTGCAAGCTCCGCCTCCCGGGTTTACGCCATTCTCCTGCGTCAGCCTCCCGAGTAGCTGGGACTACAGGCGGCTGCCACCTCGCCCGGCTAAGTTTTTGTATTTTTAGTAGAGACGGGGTTTCACTGTGTTAGCCAGGATGGTCTCGATCTCCTGACCTCGTGATCCGCCCGTCTCGGCCTCCCAAAGTGCTGGGATTACAGGCTTGAGCCACCGCGCCCGGCCTTTTGTACCCAAATTCTTAAAAAGTTCTTGATAAAGTCATGATGAAACAAACTAGAAAGTTCTGCTTCTTTAAAAATACAACTTTTAAAAAGATAGCCTAGGGTGGGCATGGAGGCTCATGCCTCTAATTCTAGCACTTTGGGAGGCTGAGGCAGGAGGATCACTTGAGGCCAGCAGTTTGAGACCAGCCTGGGCAACATAGTGAGACCCATCTCTACAAAAAATTAAAAAAAATTAGCTGGGCGTGGTAGTGTGTGCCTGTAGTCCCAGCTGCTGAGGAGGCTGAGGTGGGGGGATCACTTGAGCCTGGGAGATTGGGGCTGTGGTGAGCTGTGAAGGTGCCACTGTACTCTAGCCTGGGCAACAGAGTAAGACCTTGTCTCAAATAAATTAAAAAAGTGTATTGGCCGGGCACGGTGGCTCACGCCTGTAATCCCAGCACTCTGGGAGGCTGAGGCGGGCGGATCACCTGAGGTCAGGTGTTCAAGACCAGCCTGACCAACATGGTGAAACCCCGTCTCTACTAAAAATATACAAAAATTAGCTGGGTGTGGTGGCAGACGCCTGTAATTCTAGCTACTTGGGAGGCTGAGGCTGGAGAATCACTTGAACCTGGGAGGCGGAGATTGCAGTGAGCCGAGATCGTGCCACTGCATTCCAGCCTGGGCAACGACAAAGCAAGACTCCATCTCAAAAAAAAAAAAAAAAGAAAAAAAAAAGTGTATTATTGAAATTAGAGAAAACTGAAAAGACTAAACAAACTCTAAAACCCATTTCAGCCACTTTAAACTATTGCTTAAAAGGGGGTGTCTTAGACCAGTCCACAAAGGACTTCTTAATATTTGTCATGACTTCTCTGATAGGCAAAGTGTGACACAAAAGAAGCTTCAGTTCTTCCAGGTGAGAAGATTGATGTGAAAGCTGAGTCCTAACCTCTGAAGATTTTCTGGCATAAGTTTTACTTCAGTTGAAATACTGTTTCAGGGCAGGGCTTTGGGACTTTAAAACATGGTCGTTTGGGTGTAACTAATTTGTCAAGCTGCCCAGTAATGTCTCTGTGGGTTTGAGGCTTTCACAAACACCTGGTGAATGAAGACTCTTCATTCCTCGATCTTTTTTTTTTTTTTGTGAGACGGAGTCTCGCTCTGTCGCCCAGGCTGGAGTGCAGTGGCACAATCTAGGCTCACTTCCAGCTCCGCTTCCCGGGTTCACGCCATTCTCCTGCCTCAGCCTCCGAGTAGCTGGGACTACAGGTGCCCGCCACCACACCTGGCTAATTTTTTTTTGTATTTTTAGTAGAGATGGGGTTTCACCATGTTAGCCAGGATGGTCTCGATCTCCTGACCTTGTGATCTGCCTGCCTTGGCCTCCCAAAGTGTGCTAGGATTACAGGCTTGAGCCACCGCGCCCAGCTCCCAGATCTTAAAATGCCTTCTCTTTTCTTTTTCTTTTCTTTTTTTTTTTTTGAGTTGAAGTCTCCCTCTGTCACCCAGGCTGGAGTGCAGTGGTGTGATCTTGGCTCACTGCAACCTCTGCCTGCAGGTTCAAGTGATTCTCCCGCCTCAACTTCCTGAATAGCTGGGACTGCAGGTGCCCACCACCAAGCCTGGCTGATTTTTGTATTTTTAGACAGGGTTTCTCTATGTTGGCCAGGCTGGTCTCAAACTCCTGACCTCAAATGATTTGCCTGCCTCAGCCTTCCAAAGTGCTGGGATTACAAGTGTGAGCCACTGCACCCGGCCAAAATGCCTTCTCTTTACCTTGAGAGGACTCAGGTCCTATATCCTAATGCTTAGACTGTGAACCCAGTCTTCTAATCTTTGTCCTTCTCAACTGGCCAATACATCTTCCTTCACCTTCTTCCCAAGATGAAGTCTACACTAGGACTTCTATTGATGTTCCCTTTCAGGGATGACTCTTCTGTCCACAGGGTTGAATCCAAATCCCTTAGTTTAGCATTCAAGGCCTCTGGAAATTTTCCCCAAGCCACTTTACCAATTTTAATTCCTATGAATAGTTATGATAAACCCTTTACCCTTTAGTTGATTTGGTTTCCCAGGACTATGCTAAGATATTACTATTTCCCTATTTCTGTGGCCTCTACTTCCAGTTCCTTCTACTTCTCAATCTACGTCTGCACCAGCCTCCAACAACTACCATATCCTTTTCCTTCTCTTTGCCTTGGTAACTGTCCTTCAAGGCTCAGTTCAGCTCTATCTCTTGCAAAAATGCTCTTCTGACCATCTCAGCAATTTCTCCTTTCTTTGAATGCTTATGCTTCATTACTTGTAACAAATTTAATAATTTGCCTTCTTTGGTTAAGTGACAGTTTATGTGCATATATTGATGTGTTTTATCTTTCAGGAGTCCCTAACTGGTATGGCAGAAACTGTGGACTCTGGCAGTAGAAAGACCTGGGTTTGAACCTCAGCTCTTCCTCTTTCTAGCACTGTGAATGGTACATGTAGTTAAACCTCTTCATGTTCAGTTTCTTCATCTGTGAAGAAAAGGAATACTACCTCGTTCATAGGGTTACAGTGAGGCTTAAATGAGATAATGCATACAGTGCATAGCACAGTGCCTGGCAAACCACAAGCATTTCACAAATGAAGTTTCCTTTCCTCACTTCTCCCCACAGTTCACCTAATGCTGATGGAACATATATTATGTGTCTTCCTATTGCCATCTGTGGCATAATCCCTGTGTTAAAAATGTTTATTAAGAGACTAAAGTTTGGCCTGGCGTGGTAGATCATCTTAGGTCAGGAGTTCAAGACCAGCCTGGTCAAAATGGTGAAAACCCGTCTCTACTGAAAATACAAAAAATTAGCCGGGCATGGTGGCGGGTGCCTATAATCCCAGCTACTTGGGAGGCTGAGGCAGGAGAATCGATTGAACTCAGGGGGCAGAGGTTGCAGTGAGCCAACATCACGCCACTTCACTCCAGCCTGGGCAAAAGAGCAAAACTCCGTCTCAAAAAAAAAAAAAAAGAGAGAGAGACAGAGACTAAAGTTCAACCAAAGTTACAAAAGTGAATTAAGCCCTTCCTCCAAAATTTCTCAATTAGGTTAATATAGGAAAGTGGCCACCCTTGCTGTTTATGCTGTTTTGAAACATACTTCTTAGGAGGTGAAGTATACAGCAGGCACTCTGTTTTGTCTGAATTTACTGAGATCTTCTGAGGTACTCTGATTACAGATGAGTTTTTAGCACTGTGCTTATTTACAAAATAACAATTAGTGGCCATCATTTGTGATCACTTTATCCTAAGCACTGAGTTAAACCATCTGAACTGATCTCATTGAATCCTCTCAACAATCCTATAAGCAGGTGTCATGTTAGTTCTGTGGTTATACAGCAGCTCAGGAAAGCTCCATAACGTGCCCAGGACGACACGGCTAAGAACAGAGCCAGGACTCACATCCAGGTCTGACTCCCAAGGTCAGGCTCTTAATGATGCTACACAATCCTCTGTGTATCTAGAGTACATTTGACAGCTCTGGGCTTAGAATTTCCTTACTGACCTGGGTTCCATCTGCTTCTGTTTTGAGAAGGTCAGTAGATGAGAGCTGGTTGCAGTAGAGGCCTGTGTGTCTCAGTGCGGGATCGTTTATCTATTAAAGATAAATATAAGATCAAATTACAAGCTAGTTGTTTAAGCTGAAAACCAAATTCTTCAATGAAAAACAATCTCACTGACAGAAAAGTAAAAGCAGCACAGCAAAAATGAAAAGCTTAGCAATTAACTGTGTTGTTACAAGTCAGGATAGTAGTTCCCCATGTCGGGGTGGAGAGTGTGTAAGGGACACAAGGAGAACCTCTGGAGTACTGATGACATTCTGTTTCTTGATCTGAGTGGTACTCAGGTGTGTTCACTTTGTGAAAATCCATTGAGTTGTACACTTTTCTCTATATTCTTATATATGATACTTTAATAAAAAGTTAATTCACACATACATATGTTAATTAGTGATAGACTCACACTTTGGTCAAGATTTAGTAACAGGGATCAGACTTATCCTCCTGCCTCAATCAGCTAAAAAAACAGACAAAACATGTGAAACAAAGGCACTTAAGACATTAGACAAAGGCAATGAAGGACAGCGATCAGCAGTCCCTACTGTGGCAACTGCCCAGCCTATTGCCTGGAGCGTACTTCCGGCTGTATCATGGAGAAAGGGAACCCAGGCAGCGGCTGGCAGGCTCCCTGAGTTAAGGGGATGCAGCTAGAATCCTCAGAGCAGAATATCAGAGAGAGTTCTGGAATAGATCTGCAGTGGCTCTCAAGTCTGCAGCCCAGTACTAATCAGCTTATAGAGGCAGGGGAAAGAATCACCTGAATAGATGACACGGAACAATTCCCGAAGTCCCCACAGGGCTGGGAATAGGCCCTGATTTCACCCCCCAGAGTGGAAAACATCATAATTCATGTAGTATCATGTAGCATATTAGAATAGCTTTACCTTGGTGGTAAGGTTAAAATTAGTCCTAGAAAAAATACTGCTTTGGTCACAGTAAACAAAAAAGCAAGGATCAAACTTTCCAAGTAATCTAACCATTTCCTAGAACAAAGCTCAAGAGTATTTGTAGGAATATAAACAAGGTAAAATTCATCTGGCATCCAATAAAAAATTACCAGGCATGCAAAGAGGCAGAAAAATATGATGCATAATGAAAAGGAAAGTCAACTGAAATCAATTCAAAAATGATGCTGATAATAGAACTGATAGGTGAGAAATATCAGGACATTTACTGTAACAACCATATTCCATTTGTTTAAGAAACAAGAGGAAAGACTGAACAGATATGAAAAATATGTTGGAGATATGGAAGATATAAGGAGGATCCAAATATGACTGCTACATATGAAAACTGCTGTGTCTGAGATGAAAAATACACTGGATAAACAGATTAGATACTGCAAAAGAAAAAATTAGTGGACCTGAAGCTACAGTAATATAAATGTTCTAAAATCAAAGAAAAAAATAACTGAACCTCATCCCACTGCCCCAAAGCCCCCCAAACCTAGAGAATCAGTGAATGTGAGACAATTTCAAGTGTCCTATTATACACGCAATTGAAGTCTCTGAAGGAGAGGAGTGAGGATGGTGACAAAAATTATTTGAAGAAATAATGATCAATATTTTCCAAAATTTGGCTGGGTGTGGTGGCTCACGCCTATAATCCCAGCACTTTGGCAGGCCGAGGTGGGTGGATCATCTTGGGTCAGGGGTTTGAGACCAGTCTGGCCAACATGGCAAAGTACCATCTCTACTAAAAATATAAAAATTAGCTGGGTGTGGTGGTGCACCCCTGTAGTCCCAGCTACTCAGAACGCTAAGGCAGGAGAACTGCTTGAACCCAGGAGGTGGAGGTTGCAGTGAGTGGAGACTGAGCCACTGCACTCCAGCCTGGGTGATGGAGTGAGACTCTGTCTCAAAAAAACCACAAAAAACCAAAAAATGACAACAAAAATTTTTTCCAAAATTTAGTGAAAATTATATGGTCATGAATCAAGAAGCTCAATGAACCCCAAGAATAAGAAATATGAACAAAATACACCAAAGCATATCATAAGCAAATTACTTAGAACCAGTGGGGGAGAGAAAAATCTTAAAAAGCAGCTAGACAGGGAAAAACATCAATCATATATGGAAGAACAAAGATAAAATGACAGCAGATATCTCATCAGCAATACTGTAGTGGACCAACATCTTTAAAGTACTGAAAGCTGAAACTGCCAAGCTAGAGTTTAGGGAAAAGAACATTCAAAGATGAAGGTGAAAGACTTTTTCAGACATAGAAAAGCTCATTAGCTGCAGGCCTGCACTATAAAAATGTTAAAGCAAGGCCGGGCGCGGTGGCTCACACCTTTGGGAGGCTGAGGCAGGCGGAACATGATGTCAGGAGATTGAGACCATCCTGGCTAACACAGTGAAACCCCATCTCTACTAAAAATACACACAAAAAAATTAGCCAGGCGTGATGGCAGGCACCTGTAGTCCCAGCTACTTGGGAGGCTGGGGCAGGAGAATCGGTTGAACCTGGGAGGTGGAGGTTGCAGTGAGCTGAGATCACGCCCCTGCACTCCAGCCTGGGCTAAAGAGCGAGACTCCATCTCAAAAAAAAAAAAAAAAAGTTAAAGCAAGACCCTCAGGCAGAAGGAAAATAATACCAAATGGAAATTTAAAACTACAAAAAGGAACGCAGAAAATTGAAAGTGGTGACTATGTGGGTAAATATAAAAAAAGGTTTTATTTAAAGTTTCTTTAGTCAATTATAGTTTATAATTAATTTATAAATTTGTAAGTAGAATTTATAAATTTATAATTTATAATTGACTAAAGAAAAAATGATAAACTGCAGGGAATAGAACATATATAGATATAATATGTATGATGACAGTAGCACAGGAGGGACAAAATAGAAATAAACTGTAATGAGGTGCTATACATTATATACCCCTCTATACATTATACCTCTATACATACATATATTACATCACCTCATGTATAGAGGTGTATATTATATCACTTGAAGATAAAAAGGGTAATCAGTGTTTATATATTTTTATGATTTGCTATAAATGATGGCTGCATGGTAACAGCCTACTTACTATGGTGTACTATGTGGTTACCGATATGAATAACGAGAATAGCAACTATAGGGAGTTATTCCAATAATCTTAAATATCGTTTTGAATTTAGTCATTCTCTTCTAAAAATCTGTAAGAGGCTCCAGGATAAATTCCACACACTTAGATGGCATGAAACATATCCAAAAAGCTTACCACATTACTTCTCTAAATATAACACAAATATCCCCTTAACATTAATTAGGCTTTCAACCCCTATCCTGCCTAGGTCATGCTGTGATAACCAATCTTGAATGTTTTTTTTCTATTCTGTTTAGGCAACTTTTTCATAATGGCTTTTTTGATCAGGGCTTTTTTCTTTTAAGCCCTCAGTAGTCAACTGTGCATACACTCCTCATCTGACAGAAACACGTATGACCCATCTCTTAACACACTTGTTTTGTCCTATGATTAAAATGACCCTTTGTTCATGTTGTGTCTTCTCCAACTTGTACATATGCATGTACAAGGCTATCTTTGTACACAGTAAGTACTGAATAAATGCTTACTGAATTAAAAAAGGTAGAAATGAAGAAAATGTGTTCAAAATATAAAGGAGTATTCCAAGACAATATATTACATGTACTGTTTTTTTGTTTGTTTGTTTTTGTTTGAGACAGAGTCTTGCTCTGTTGCCCAGGCTGGAGTGCAGTGGCGCAATCTCAGCCCACTGCATCTCTGCCTCCTGGGTTCAAGCAATTCTCATGCCTCAGCCTCCCGAGTAGCTGGGATTACAGGTGCATGCCACCATGCACAGCTAATTTTTGTATTTTTTTTTTTTTAGTAGAGATGGGGTTTCACCGTGTTGGCCAGGCTGGTCTCAAACTCCTGACCTTGTGATCCATCTGCCTTGGCCTCCCAAAGTGCTGGGATTATAGGCATGAGCCACCACGTCCAGCCATGTACTGTTTAATAAATCTAAAAAACTAAAAATCTCATGAAACTAAAATCTTATTTATAAAGTCTGTCAAGGCCCAGGAGTAGTGGCTCACACCTGTAATCCCAGCACTTTGGGAGGCTGGGATAAGAGGATCGCTTGAGCCCAGGAGTTCAAGACCAGCCTGGGCAACATAGTGAGACCTTGTTTCTGCAAATAGTAAAAAAGTTAGTTGGGCAGGGTGGCATGTGCCTGCAGTCCCAGCTACTTAGGAGTCTGAGGTAGGAGGATCCCTTGAGTCTGGGCAGTCAAGGCTGCAGTGAGCTATAATTGAACCACTGTACTCCAGCTTGGGTGACAAAGTGAGATCCCATCTCAAAAAAAAAAAAAAAAAAGTCTGTCAAAAATTTTCATTGTATATCTTAAGAGCCAGTAATTATTAAAAGTTAGTGGGAAAGAATAAATAAAGAAGTGTGGCTGTTTCTGATGAGTAACTGTCAACATACCTGATTTTCCTCAGAATAATGAACTGTGATGTAGTGTGGCAAGTGTGCCAGCTGTGCCACTTACCTGCTCAGGGCACACAGTGTTCATTCCTGGCATCTGCAAAGAGCTCATCTGCATCTGGGCCATCATTGGGTTCATGTTCTGAACATTCGTATTTCCACCTGCCATGGAAACGGTGATGCTCATGTTGTTGTATACTCCTGGCTGTGCAGGTGTGGGCTGGTTCTGGACAGCTTGACTGAACACACTGTAAACTCAAAAACAATCCAGATTACATCCACTGATCATGAACAAGGGATAATGTGACTAGATCCTGTTTCCAAATAAAATATGTTACATCCGTAAATTGCAAGCATGACTGTATCTTCTTAAAATATATAAAAATTAATATAATTCAGATACATTCTGAAGTCTACAAAAGGGATTAAATAACTGAAAAGAACTCATTTTAAGTAACAATTATCTGGCATAATATCAGAGATGATAGGCTGCAATCATGTAAATAATTAAGAAAGGAAGTTTTCCATGTAAGTAAATCTTCTAGGTAACTGACATTTACCTATCTAAACAGAGAATGTCCTATTTGAGCAAAGTGTCTGGCATATATATATATGGATCTTCAACAAATGCTCACTGAATGAATTAGCACAGGAATGAATGATTCAAAGACAGCATCCTTATATTGTATTTGCTTGTATAGCCTCTTAGACTTAATACTTCAGGGGAATGATGGTATCTTGTTCCACTTATTTCTTGTCTCTATTAACACGTGACATATAGCAGGCACTCAGTAAATACCTGATGAATAAATGAAGTATGGCATGGGTTATTATTTGGTGCTGTCAAATGGTGCAGTTCAGATTGTTTCCTACTAATTGGTTTTATTGTATCTGTGCCAGTGAAGTGGCATACATTTTTTGAAGTGTAGCGCAGAGATAATCTACAAGAGAATACCCTGGGACTCATTGACAATCAAGACTCTCAGGTTTTACTCAAACCCTGGTGAATCACATTTTCCAGGGGTGAGTATAGAAAGATCCATCTTTAACTACTCAGGCACACTAAAATTTGAGAGCCTTTATTCAATATCCTAGCTTGTTGTCACTTCTCAATGTTTTAGCTTGTGGTCGCTTTCAATATGCTACAAATTAAGAGGAAACCAGATGTACATAACCAAATGTTTTTAGGTGGCAAATTCAATCCTTTTAAAGACTTCCAAGGTCTTACCAGGCCTGAACATAGCTTCATGTCTTTTCTAGGAAGAAAAATACGTAAGCACTTATGTTTTTCAGAGAGCCTGTTTTATTGACTTCCTTCTTCACGGCCAAGTTCTGGACTGTTGTTATGCCAAAGATCTCAACTGTAAAATCAGTCTCTATTAGGAAGTAGAATAGTAAGCAATAAACTCCACGTAAATTCAACTTGACACTTTGTATGTGAACCCTGAAAATTTTCAGTGATACAGATATACAAATCTAAAGGATAATGATATTAATTCTGTCTTTCCTAAGTTCTATAAACACCAAATATTTTATGATTATATATTAATTGTTAACAATAAACTGCTGGTAAAATTCCACCTATTTTAATGTTAATTCTATAGAATTTGATTTTAAAAATAATTTTCCCCATCAATAGTTTATCTATTCCTTGCCAGCTCTTAGTGTTAAGAAGGATATACTGACATTTACAGTTTCTAGTAGACTAAGGTAATCATACTGCATTGACAGGCCAAGAAACAGCCTATTTATCATATCTGAAGAAAAGTACAGAATTTTCCCCCAAGTAATTATAAAACACAGATGCCCACAGAAAATTATATGCCTAGGAAATAGTCAATAATACACCTGTGGACCATTAATGTCTGCACAGTGTGTATGCTTGTGGGGCAGTGTTCCTACAACTAAAGGTGAGAAAAAAGCCTATTAATCTATGTCTATTGCCTTTTGTTTTCAGAGACGGAGTTTTACTCTTGTTGCCCAGGCTGGAGTGCAATGGCGCAATCTTAGCTCACCGTAACCTCCGCCTCCCGGGTTCAAGCGATTCTCCTGCCTCAGTCTCCCAAGTAGCTAGGACTACAGGCATGCACCACCACACCCAGCTAATTTTTTATTTATTTATTTTTTAGTAGAGGCAGGTTTTACCATGTTGGTCAGGCTGGTCTCAAACTCCTGACCTCAGGTGATCCACCTGCCTCGGCCTCCCAAAGTGCTGGGATTACAGGCATTAGCCACTGCACCCAGCCTCTATGCCTATTTTCTAATGAGAACATTTCTGCCTAAGACAGTACTCATTTGTCAATTGATACATAAGTCACCACTGTGGAGGAGCAAAGCTATGTAAGTTAATGCATCTGGAAGCTTCAAGGACTGCAATGATGTCATACTTATGGAAAAAAATTTAGGGCTTAATATCCTTTCAAATTAATATTTGGGACTGTATATTAGTTTAAGTTCTTTCAAATTGCTCCTGCCAATAGTTCCATTTTGGCATCTTCCATTAAGGGAAGAAGACCAAGCTCTTCTGCAGCTGCAACCACTGTCCCAGGTCCTAGAAAGACATCTGGGTTCACTGGCACCTAAAGTCCAACACTCACAGGCCCTCTTCCTTACTCTGCTTTCCTGTCTGCTTTGTAGCAGCTATCACAGTTTTCTCAGGGTAGCACTAGGTCTTTGGTAGTCACTAAATGATGGGAAAAAGAGAAGGATGAATACTCTGACCCAGAGTGGGTTCCACAGATATTACAGGTATTAACAAGCAGGGGAGTCCCTGGTCTAATAAGTCTGAGAAACAAAAGGTTAAACAACAGGACTTCTTATCCTTTAACATGCTAATAAGCAATGGGATTCTCCCATCAACCAGCCTTATACAGAAGCACTACCCAGTTCCAGGACACACACGTTTGTTTAACCATTCCTTTCTCTTGCCACCAGAGAGATAATGAAAAAGAATTACATTGTACTACCTCTGAACTCTATTACATCATTCTACTTAATGGTTCTCTGACCGTTTCATGTTTTGATTCTCTCTGACCTGCCCCCTCACCAACTAGATTCTTCGTTAATTGGCAGCAGGGGTTTTCAGTGTTCCTCATGGTATCTTGCGTTGTGTGACAGAGATAGTGAGCGGTCACTGTCTCCAGGTGATATACGCTAATACACAATGCTTATGTTGACTAATAAACTTCTGCATATGAACCAAATGAACAAGTGTGAGTGTTTCAAGAGTTGATGGTAACTGTTTTCTTTCCCAAATGATCTGGAAAGTCAAAGTTTGCAAAAACTACTAAAATACAACAAAAACCTACATCCATATTTGAATCTGAATCCAAGACATTGACTTAGGGAGTATTTGCACTCATTTATTCAACAGATGTAGATAAAGGGCCTCCCTATTCCAGACGATGGAGACACAGAAGTAATACAAAATATAGTTCTTGCTTTTATGATGCTCATATTCTAGATGGAGAAGAAAAATCACAAATAAATAGACTATCGCACAGTATGTCAAGTGTTAATCACTATGAAAAAAAAAAAAAGAATGGAAAGGAGGCGCCAGGGGTAGAAAATGCTATTATTTCATAAATGATGGCCAGGGAAGTGTAATAAGGTGACATTTAACGTCTGTTTCTAACAAAGTGACATTTAAGGAAAGACTTGAAGTGTGAGAGACAAACCATGTGGCCACTGAGGGAAGAACATTCCAGCAGAGAGATTAAAAAACGCAAACATCCTGAGTTTGCAGTGTACTTAGCACATCTGAGGAGCAGAAGGATAAAAGGAAGCCAGTGTAGCAGAGTGAGCAGTGAGAATAACAGATGGGATCAGAGAGGTATCCAGGAACAAGATGATGTGGGGTTTTACGGGCCCTATTCTGTATTTTGAGTAAGATGGGGTGCTACTGGATGAGTTGTGCGTAAAGGACTGACATACTTTGCCTCACGTTTTAAAAGCATGGCTCTAGCTACCATGTGGAGATTAAATGATGGTGCAACAAGGGTGGAAGCAGGAGAGGAAGCTACTGGAATGGCCCAAGGAAAAGATGATTGTGGCTTGCACTAAGGTGCACAAGTGGAATTGGTAAGAAGAGAGAGGTGTTAAGAAGCTGACATGATTTGCTGATGTGATGTGAGAAAGAGAAAGACTTTTCTTCTGGACAAGTGGAACATGGAGTTGTCATTTACTGAAATGGGAAAAAGTAACCCAGAGGAGCAAGTCTGGTGAAAATATCACTTTAGTTTTCATCATGTTAAGTGTGAGATGCCTATTAGATTTGTAAGTGGAGATATTGGTTGGGCAGCTGGATATACAGTATGGTGTTCAGGAAAGCCATCTGCACTGGAGGTTTAAATTTGGGAGTCAAATATAGAAACAGGCATTGACAATAATAAGATGGGTGATGTAACCAAAGGAGGGAGTGGGTATGGGGAAGAGGTCCTAGAATCAACTCTGGGGCCCTCAAATGGAGGTCATGGAGATGAGAAAGATCCTAAAGGAGACTAAGTGATAGGAGGAGAGTCACTTTTCTCGAGAGAGTTGTTCTAGAAACCAAATGAAGAGCTTCAAGAAAGAATAATGCTCAAATATGTCAAATGCTACTGATGAGCATTGCTTTTGGCACTGAAGAGGACATTTAACTATCTTGACAAGAACACTTTTTTGTGGAATGATAGGAATGAAAGCCTGATTAGTTCAACAAGGAGTAGGAGTAGGGGAAGTGGATAGAGTATCATCTTTTAAGGAATTTAACTGTAAAGGGGAGCAGAGAAATAGGTTATTGAGACATGTCAGTATGACTGTTTTTTTTTCCCCAAGCCATATTTCGATGATTAGATGGAGGTACAAAGTAAGAGTTTAGTTGGATTTCATTAGGGAGAATTTTGCCAGGCATAAGTGCAACAGAGGGAGAGCTGGGCAAGGGAGTCAGAGTGCCTGTAAGGTAGTGATTATAATGATGGGCCACAAAATCCAGAGTGAGTTTAGGAAGTTGGGATTGGAATACATTAGGAGACTAAATTCCTCTTATATTACAGATACGGTTCTATTTCTACCTAATTTATACATGGTCTTCATTGAGACTTACACAGTTCTCTAACATGAAGATTTTCTCTCACCTTTCAATGAACTTTAGAAGAATATAGTCTTGTGTTTTCAACTTTAACTGCCTTACTTATTATGTTGTCAGATCAGACAGCTTCCCTGTCATTAGCGCTAAGACACAACCAAATTAAAATCCTTATAAAACTCAAAGTGATGTGTGAAAAGTTCAGCAGCCAGGATTTGGGAAAAAAAAAAAAGACTTTAGTGAGATAATTCTAAGCAAGATGGGTAAGTCAAGGTCACTAAAAATCTAGAGATTAAAAAGGGGTAAGCCTTAAAAACTTTTGTTATTGTTATAAAGTCTTTAAATACACCGGGAAAAGTGAAACTTGTGTGCCCACTACTCAGCTCTATTGAATTCTGACATTTGCCATTCTTGGTTTCAGATTTATAAGATTTTAAAGTGTTCTTATAAAGAAAAACTTTTTTAAAAGTACCCATTTCTATGTCTGTCCCAGGGAAGCTGTTACTGCTGTGAGCTCATCATATTCTGACATGTGCTCAGGTTAGGATGGAAAGGTTGGGGACACTAGATCTCTTTTCTGTACTGTTGGCACACAAATTTGCCTTAGAAGTGACTTGATACTTATAAGATTTAAAAATCATTTTTCTTTGCTGATAATATAAAATCTAGTTCTTTCCATTATGCAAATGGAAGCAGCCAATAACCTTCTACTTAGTCTGTGAATACAATCAGCCCATGAAAACATGGCTGTTCTTATGTGGGGCTTTCTGTCTCCACATATAAACGGGGAAACGTCATATAAATGTAACCATATGTGGCCTTTTGTGTCCGGCCTTCTTTCACTTTGCATAATGTTCCTGAGGTTCAACCATTGTAGCATTTATCAGTATCAGGGATTTATCACAGTATCAAGGATGCTCATATATAAAAACTGCCCCCTTACTTGTTTCCTATTGCTCCTTGCTGCCAGGCCTTCATGTCTGGTGACTGATACCCGGAGGCAGGCGGAGTTTGCTGGAGCAGAGAGCTCTGAGGAGGAGGGATTGGCATCGGCACCATGGAGCTCCCAGGGCTTAGAGATGGAGCAAAGCTGGCCTCACCTTGGGGAACCATTCCTGTAAATCGACACAAATTAATTTACGTTGATATACTATAAATTTATTAACCCCATAAATGAAAAAACCCAAAATGATCTGTCACAATATATTTACAAATAACTTTCTTATTTGCCTTGTTTTGTGTCAGGCAACATATTTACAAATAACGTATTCAACAGAGCATGGAAAAAATTTAGTATCTTAAACTAGGGCAAGAAATCTCAGCATAAACCAATAGATAAATAAATGTAAGTCTGGAATAATGCTTTCCATTCACTAAGATGTTGATTTGTGCAGCAGGATTGTATATGATCTGTTTCTGTTCTTTTTTGCTTATATGAATTTTTAAGTGTAAAAATATGTATGAACATTCATGATGAATTACTTGTGTAGTAAATTAAACTTTCCCCCCCTCCCCCTCCAAGATGGAGTCTTGCTCTGTCACCTAGTCTGGAGTGCAGTGGCACGATCTTGGCTCACTGCAACCTCTGCCTCCTGGGTTCAAGCAATTCTCCTGCCTCAGCCTCCTGAGTAGCTGGGATTACAGGCGCCTGCCATCGCGCCTGGCTAATTTTTGTATTTTCAGAGGAGATGGGGTTTCACCATGTTGGCCAGGCTGGTCTCGAATTCCTGACCTCAGGTGATCCACTTGCCTCGGCCTCCCAAAGTGTTGGGATTATAGGCGTGAGCCATCGCGCTCGGCCGTAAATTAAACTTGAAAAGGAAAAAAATAGCTAAGAAAAAGCCATGTGTGGCCAGGTGCGGTGGCTCATGTCTGTAATCCCAGCACTTTGGGAGGCCGAGGTGGGTGGATCACCCGAGGTCAGGAATTTGAGACCAGCCTGGCCAACATGAGAAACCCTGTCGCTACTAAAAATACAAAAATGCCTGTTATCTCAGCTACCTGGGAGCCTGAGGCATGAAAATGGCTTGAACCTGGGAGGCAGAGGTTGCAGTGAGACGAGATCGTGCCACTGCACACCAGCCTGGGTGACAGAGCAAGACTGTCAACAAAAAAAGAAAAGAAAAGAAAAGAAAAGAAAAACAAGTCACGTGTGAAAATAAAAAATAATGAGAAAGTTTTGTTAGCCACTCTTCCCCTCCTCCTTCCCCTTTTTAAACTTTATTCAGACATAATCTACACAACATGAAATTGACACACTGTAACTGCATAATGTAATGATTTTTAGTAAATTTATAGAGTTGTGCTGCCATTACCACAATCCAGTTTAGACATCTAATCATTCTCCAAATTCCCTTGTACCTGTTTGTAGTCAATCCTTGCTCTCACCCCTAGTTCCAGGTAACCTCTGATTTGCTTTCTGTCTCTAAAGGATTTGCTTTTTGGGGGTAATTTCATGTAGATGTAGCCATACATGGTCTTCTGTGTCTGGCTTGCATTCACTTAGCATGATGTTTTTGAGGTTCAGCCATTTTGGAGCACTTATCAGTAGGCTATTCCTTTTTATTTAAGATGATGCTTATTAGCAGCCATCTGACCGAACTGTCAAAACTCAACTGAGCATAAAAGTAAGGGTTTATTTCTGAACTTTTTATTCTGTTCCAGTGATCTCTATGCTGTACCAGTATCACATTGTCTTGATTGTTGTGACTTTATGGCAATTTCTGAAATTTGGCAGATATCCAACTTTGTTCTTCTTTTTAAAAGTTGTTTTGGCTACTCTAGGTCCTTTGCATTTCCATACACATTTTAGGATGTTTGTTAATGTCTCCAAAAAGCATGCTGAAATTCTGCATTGAATTATAAGATCAATTTTGAGTAAATTACCAGTTTTTTTTTTAAGTCTTTTTTCTCTGATTTCATTTTGGATAGTTTCCATTGTTATATCTTTAAGTTCACTAATTTTTTCTTCTGTAATTTCTAATCTGCTGTTTATCACATCTAGAGTTTTTTTTTTTAAATCTCAGACACTGTAGTTTTCATCTCTGGAAGTCTGACTTGGGTTTTATTTATATCTTCCACGGCTCTACTTAACATGTTCAAGCATCCTCTTGCTTCTTGAACATACAAAATTTATAATTTATAATTGCTTTAATGTCTCTGTCTACTAATTCTATCATCTGTGTAATTTCTGAATTTTTGATTGGCTGATTTTTCTCTTCATTACAGGTTGTATTTTCCTATCTCTTTGCATACCTGGTAGTTTTAAAAATCAGATTCCAGACCTAGTGAATTTTACCTTGTTAGGTGTTGGATTTTTTTTCTATTCTTTTAAATATTTTTGACCTTTGTCTAGGCTATGGTTAGGTTACATGGAAACAGGTTAATTCTTTAGGTCTTGTGCCTAATGAGACAAGAGAAGAGTTTAGGCCTTATGAATTTGCCCCACTACTGAGGCAAACCATCTCTGAGTATTCTACTTGATACCCCCTGAATTACAGGGTTTTCTACTCTGGCTGGTAGGAAGAGGAGCTGGCCCTGTGTGAACTTTGAAGATTGTTCCCTCTTATCTTTTCAGGTGGTTTTCTCTGGCCTTGATTTGTACACACATACATGCATGCCTGCGTGTGGGCAGCAGCTCTCAGCTGAATGGGACCCTCTGCATATCCTACAATTCTCTATGTAGTGCTGTCCTCTCTGGTATTGTGCCCTGCTACCTCTAGGTGTCTTGGCTTTCCCAGACTGCCAGCTCTACCTCCTCAGCTCAGGGAAATGTCCTGGCTCCTGCTGGATTCTCCCTCCCTGCAGCACAGTCTGGACAATCTCAAGAACTACTGTTGAACGTACTTTGTCTGTTTTTTGTTTATTTGTTTCAGATGGGAAAATAAATCTGGTCCCTGTTATTCCTTTGGCCAAAAGTAGATATCCATAACAATTTAAAAGAGTAAAACGTTTTCTAAAAAATGTTTAGTGCTAGCACTCTGTTTTTTTTGTTTTTGTTTTTTTTTCCTGACAAAACACATCTCACAGTTAAATACTTTTAAGGCAGAAAAAGTTACGAAGGCGCAAAAAAAGGATGCCATAGTATGACTGCCCATAATTTAGTATAATTCCTTTCCATCTTTGTAAAATCCTGTAAGATTCCGTGACCTGCTTCTTTCACTCAACATTACATCATAAACATGTTTCTATGTCCTTGATGTCTTTTTGCGAACACATGCATATATGCCTGTGTAATATCTACTGTGTTCTGCCACTATTAATGTAATTTTTGTTATTTTTAACACAATGATTTTTTTTTCTCTTTTTACTTGGTTAAATAAAAAAAAAATCATTATATTTGCCAGAGATGTAGTTAATTTACTCTTTTTTTATTACAGGCTACATTTTTTTTTTTTTTTGGAGACCAACTTTTGCTCTTGTTCCCAGGCTGGAGTGCAATGGTGTGATCTCTGCTTACTACAACCTCTGCTTCAAGCATTTGGGTCCAAGTAATTCTCCTGTCTCAGCCTCCCGAGTAGCTGGGATTACAGGCGCATACCACCATGCCCAAATAATTTTTGTATTTTTAGTAGAGATGGGGTTTCATCATATTGGTCAGGCTGGACTTATCTCCTGACCTCGTGATCTACCCGCCTCGGCCTCCCAAAGTGCTGGGATTACAGGCGTGAGCCACCGTGCCCGGTCTTACAGGCTACATTTTTTTTTTTTTTTTTTTTTTGCCTGACGACAGAGTGAGACTCCATCTCAAAAAACAGAAAAAGAAAAAGAAAAAAAAAAGGATGTCTGGGCGCAGTGGCTCATGCTGGCAATCCCAGCACTTTGGGAGGCAAGCAAGTTGTCACCTGACGGTCGGGAGT